CAGTTCGGCAAGTTCTGCTACATTTTTTTTATGACAGTAATTTCCTTGTACATGTCCTCTTTCAGGTCCTGTATGTTTTTCCTGGTTTCATCATGCTGTCTAGCTGTGTTTTTTTGTATCTCATTCAGTCTCTTTAGGATTATCACTTGAAATTCCCTGTCATTCATTTCAAGGCTTCTTGTTCTATAGGATCTGGAGTTTGAGATTTATTAACTTTTGGTGGTGTACTTTCTTGGTTTTTTGCATTTCTGGTATCTCTTTTTGGGTGTTTGTTCATTTTGGCAGGGAGTTTCACTCGGGTCTTGGACCTCTGCGGGAAGTCTCCTCTCTGGTCAGTTTGAATTCTACTAAGTTGCTGGATACTTCCCTACCAGTCCCGTAAGGTGTGTGTGTTCTGCACCTCGCTATCGGGGCATTTTCCCACTCTGTGTGCACTAGGTGGGGCTGTTGAGCCTTGCAAAGGGGTCCCACAGGGTGTGTAATTATTTTTTTTTTCCCGAGACTCCGCCTCCTTTTGCCGGCCCGCTCCCCACTCTGTGCGCTCAGAACAGGGCTGAGGCGTGTCTTCTACAAACTTCATCTTTCAGCTGAGACATCAAAGCTGTGCCCTGCCCCGCCCTGCCCAGGAAGAGTTTCAGGTGTCTAGTCTCTCCAACTGCAGGGTGTGAGCTCCTCGGGGGAGGGTCCCACAGCTCACAGTTCCTCTTTGACTCCCTCCAGCACAGGTCGACCCGGGCGCCCTCCGGGAGAGCTCTCTGGCAGCTTCAATGTAGCTCAAGAGTGCTCCGGGCTCCTCTCTCCCAACCAGAAATCAGTTAGGGGTCTTCCAAACTGAGGCCCACAGAGATGGTATCTGCCTCCCGGAAACAGGGAGTTTACCTGGCGCTGAAGCCCAGGGTGTGGTGGAGAGACGATCTGGGTGGGCTCCTCTTCCCTGCCCTCCCGACGCTAGCTGTGGGCTCCCCACGCTACCAGCCCCGTCAGAGATCTGCCGGGAGAGTGGGATTGTAGGCCGGTCCACAGGCCCCGGGGGGCCCCGCGTCAAGGTACACAAGTGGCACGTCTCAGTGAGGAGCCGCGCCAAGCAAAGATGGCTGGCCTGCCTGATCTGAGCCGGCCATCTCCGCCCCCACCCAAGAAAATGGAGGCAGCGGGCGCCTAGCCTGGTGTGGTAGGCGGGAGCCAGGCGGGCGGGGAGCAGTCGGGCTTTGCCCCACAAGTGGGGCTGGGCTGGGGGTGACTCACAGAGCTTGCAGAGTTGGGCCGGTACAGCGCCTTCCACTCCGTTTCTGTGTCATCTCTGCTGGCTTACTTGGGCTTTGTTGTCTCGGGCTGCTCGCTCGAACCCGCAGCACGGCTTGGGCGCTCTCAGGAGTCTTCTTTTGTGACAGCCCTAAAACCTCGAACCTGTAGTTGCTTGTTTGTCATTGTAGGTTAGTTGTTCAAAGATTTATTCGTTTTTTGTTGCTCTTGGAAATGCAAATAGTACTCTGGTATCACAGCGCACACTTCTCAGGGTCGCGCTGTCTCCTGGCACGGCCGCTCCAGGCCCGTCGCCATTTTGTGAATAACATAGCTGAGGTTCTAACCCAAGCCTGAGTCCATAGTCCAGATTACTAACCTCTCTTCTCTACCAAAGATCAGCACACGTTTTCTTTACTAGCCTTTAAGCAGATATCCACATACTTGGAGACATGATTTCAGCCCTTTAGGGCTTCTTTATCTCCCTTATGGGGCTGGTAATGGAAAAGCAGTCTCCAACTTTCACAGTGGATGAGTTATCCATATTATCTTTTAATTGCATTTTTTTCACGAACTTTCTGAAGGACTCTCATACATATAAGAGGCTGAATTCCCTGAAGAGCAAGTTGTTAATTGTTTCATCCTTGCAGATCTTTTATTTAAAACAAAGTATACACACAAGGGATTGTTTCCATACCTGGAGGAGATACTTAATAGTGATGTAAAGAGTGATGAAGAACATTTTGCCAACTGTGTAGTCAGGGCCAGACTAGCAGTCTGGTAACTACTAGTTTGTGATCTTGCTATGGAGTAGGGCATGACTCAAACCATGAGTTACCTGTAGAATCCATTACAAGAATAAAGACACACAAACCCACAGTCATTGACTTATGACAAGTGTAAGATGTAGAAAATGACAGTGATTTCCTGATTAATCAGCTACATTAGTTTCTGTGATCTAGTATGCACATAAGCCAATTAGAAGGTGGAGATCATTTCCTGTCTCCCAACAAATTACATGCAAATAACCAAACAGACAGTATGTCAAGGTTGAAAGTCCAGACAACAAACTCTGGAGTTAAATTCAAGTCTTTTAGGAGACTTTTGACTAGAGGTAAAGAAAATAAGCCACATGTTACAGAATACTTAGAAAGACTAGGGTAGACAAAACAAAAACAACTGAAGCTCATTATAATAAGAACTTGATTGCCATTGAGAGGCATACCTGGAAGGGGACATTGGATGACCACACTTGGGCACATAAAGGCTTGATTGATGGAATCTCACATTTTGGTTTAGGAGGCTGTCATCATGGGAAAGTGAGGGACTTTTTAAAAGTGATCTTGGTAGAATCCTCCAGAAAACTATCAAATCAGAACTTTAAGAGCACAGGAGCTGAAAACATCAAATCCAAGTCTGCTGTTTAACAGGGAGAGCTTTGATGCTCAGGAGTGAGTCCAGTAAGTCTTTCCAGTAGGTATTATTTTCAATTTTTCTTTTATTTGTACTACTGCACAGTGTTTTTGTTTGTTTGTTTTCTGGTAAAGAAAATAAAGTGTGTGGTTTTATTGTTTTATTTCAGATTTGGAGTCAACATATGACACCAGAAATATATTTTCAGAAAAGGACATTTTTCAAATAAATTTTTCTCAATGGGAGATAAAGGAAAAAAGTAAAGCCCTAGGCCTTGAGGCATCCATTTTCAGTAATAATTGGAAGTGCAAAAGCAAATTTGAGGGACTACAGGGACATCAAGAGGGATACTTCAGTCAAATGACAATCAGCTATGCGAAGATGCCTACTTACAGAGGAAGTAAATCTCACACTCCACATCAAAGAATTCATAATAGAGAGAAACCCTATGTTTGTAAGGAATGTGGAAAGGCTTGTAGTCATGGCTCAAAACTTGTTCAACATGAGAGAACTCATACAGCTGAAAAACACTTTGAATGTAAAGAATGTGGGAAGAACTTTTTTAGTGCCTATCAACTTACAGTGCATCAGAGATTTCATAGTGGTGAGAAACCCTATGAATGCAAGGAATGTGGAAAAACCTTTAGTTGGGGATCAAGCCTTGTTAAGCATGAGAGAATTCATACTGGTGAGAAACCCTATGAATGTAAAGAATGTGGAAAAGCCTTTAGTCGTGGCTATCACCTTACTCAACATCAGAGAATTCATATTGGTGTGAAATCTTATGAATGTAAGGATTGTGGGAAGGCCTTTTTTTGGGGCTCAAGCCTTGCTAAACACGAAATAATTCATACAGGTGAGAAACCTTATAAATGTAAAGAATGTGGGAAGGCCTTCAGTCGTGGCTATCAACTTACTCAGCATCAGAAAATTCATACTGGTAAGAAACCTTATGAATGTAGAGTATGTGGAAAGGCTTTTTGTTGGGGTTACCAACTTACTCGACATCAGATATTTCATACTGGTGAGAAACCCTATGAATGTAAGGAATGTGGAAAAGCCTTTAATTGTGGGTCAAGTCTTATTCAACATGAAAGAATACATACAGGTGAGAAACCGTATGAATGTAAAGAATGTGGAAAGGCCTTTAGTCGTGGCTATCACCTTACTCAGCATCAGAAAATTCATACTGGTGAGAAACCTTTTGCATGTAAGGACTGTGGGAAGGCCTTCAGTTGGGGTTCAAGCCTTGTTAAACACGAGAGAGTCCATACTGGTGAGAAATCCTATGAATGTAAAGAATGTGGGAAGGCCTTTGGTAGTGGGTATCAGCTTATTCGGCATCAGATATTTCATACTGGCGAAAAACCCTATGAGTGTAAGGAATGTGGAAAGGCCTTTAATTGTGGATCAAGTCTTGTTCAACATGAGAGGATTCATACAGGTGAGAAACCCTATGAATGTAAAGAATGTGGGAAGGCGTTTAGTCGTGGCTATCACCTTACTCAACATCAGAAAATTCATACTGGTGAGAAACCTTTTAAATGTAAGGACTGTGGGAAGGCCTTTAGTTGGGGTTCAAGTCTTGTTAAACATGAGAGAGTCCATAGTGGTGAGAAGTCCTATGAATGTAAAGAATGTGGGAAAGCCTTTTGTAGCGGCTATCAACTTAGTGTTCATCAGAGATTGCATATTGGTGCGAAAATTTATCAACGTAAGGAATTTGAGAAGACCTTTACTCATAGCTCAAACCTTGTTCAGTGTGAGAGAACTCATAGTGATGGTAGATCCCATGAATATAAAGAATGGGGACACCTTTATATGGACAGTTTACTCAAATGAGAAAACTGATACTGGTGCAACCTTATCATTGAAGATATATGAAAGAACATTTTTTTATGTATGGACAAATTACTCCGTATGAGAAATCTTACTCTTGAGAAACTATGAATGTAAGGAATGTACAAAAGCCTGTATGTAGACAGTTTCCTTGATATCAGCAAATTCATTCTACTGAGAAATATTTTGAATATAAGGAATATGAAAAGACCTTTAGACTTTTGTGCTATCTTATTGAACATCAATTTACACTGATGTAAAACCATTTAGATGTAAGGAATGTGTGAACACCTTTATTCATGGCACAAAGTTTGATCGACATCAGGGAATTTGTACTTATTAGAAAAACTAAATGTAAGGAATGTAGGATTGATCTAAATGTAATTCAGTTCTTGCTCCACATAGAGAATTCATACTGCTGTGTAATCTTATGAATGTAAGGAATGTGGGAAGGCTTATAGGATGGTAAACATCTTAGAGTACAGCAGAGAATTCATCCAAATGAGAAACCCTTTGAATTAGAATGGTAGGATGGCCTTTAGACAAATGCTATTTTCCAAACTATTTTCTAGACAATAGTGCCAGTTCACAACATTGTCATCTATCCACTATGAGATAATTGCAGAAAATGAGAGTAAATGTTTGGAAGCTTTTATAGCAATCTGTTATTGCTATAACTTTTTCATTGTATTTTCCTAAAGTATCAGTTCATGAATGATCGAAAAATTTTTAAAAAGTTTTCTTATCCAGAAATAATTTTAGAGACAACATTCATGCTTTTTAAAACATGATGCAATTCACAATAGGTTTTAATTCAAATAAGAAATCCTTGATTGTTACCTCTCTGTTTAAGAATAGCAGAATATTCATGCTATTGGAAGATTTGGCAAGTGAGGGAATCACAATTTTCTTATGCTCATAACAGTATAAGAGAATTTGTTTACTTAGTGAATGTATAGAAGCCTTCCAACATTATTCAGTCTTTGTTAAACTTCAGCAAATTCATCATAGAGAACAACCCTGTTAATGTAACAAATGTAGGAAAACCCTTACCTGTGGCACAAACCATAACTTGTTGTCATCACCGTTCCACCTCCTTACTACCTATGGGATGTTGGGCAAAATGCTTATCCCCTCTGGGTATCATATTTAAAAGGCTGGTGATGGTAACTATCCAATAATGCTGTTGTAGAGACTGGATGGATTTTATATGTATCAGATCCCTGGACGAGTATGAGGTGTCTTCAAAAAGTTCATGGAAAGATTTGTATTATCTTCTAATTCCACTTTTCCACAACCTTTTTGAAGTACCCTTGTATCAGGTATGTAGACTATGCTCAATACATATTAACTATTTTTCATATTATTCTCATTATTAATATTACTATTGGTGAATTCTTAGGAGTACAACCATTTGGCATAATGAATTTAGAAAAGGGAGCTGACTGGTTAGCTCAATTGACGCTGATAACACCAAGGTCCAGGGTTCAATTCCTGTACCAGCCAGCCACCAAAAAGAAAAGAAAAGCTTCCCATAACTACTCATCCACTTGAATTTCAGATAATTCATTCTGGGTAAAATCTAGTAAAATGAAAAGAATTGGAGAGGATTTTTATCTAGAGTTGATCCCTTAAGCTGCATCAAAAATTAGGCTGAAAAGAAACAGATTTTGAAGAGTTTAGGAAAGCTATTTTATAGAATGCCACACATTTGTTTCTCATGGTGAATTTGTTTCTTTCCTTATGGTAAAATTTAATGTGTGCCTCTCTCCTTCATATTTCTCGTAAAAAAAAGTTAGAACTAGAGGCTTAAATATTTTTGGCTAGAACACTTCATAGATGGTGATGTGTATTTCATTTTGCAGCATATCAGAAGCACATAATATCCATTTTTCCCACTATCACAAATGTTTGATCACTTTATTAAGATATTGACTACTCAAGCTCTATTATAAAGATCCATTATATAACTAGTAGGATTGGTAAATCTTGGTCAACTACTTTTGGAAATGTATATGTATGTATTTTAATATTTGAAAATCAGAATGTATCTTCAGATTGATGGCTTCTTGTAATCACTTTCAACCAGGTGGCTGTTATGAGTTAGTGCTAGCATCAAAGCATATTAGTCGTAATGAAATAGAGTGTGTTTTTATATACTTACACAGTTAGAAATCAACCCTTTAAAATGTATTCCTTTTCAAACATAATGTCATTTCCATCAAAACTTCTGCATTGACAATCAGGTATCTGTGGTTCATCATTATAAATCTGCACCTCACTTCTGTTCAGTCATTCACCATCTAGTGGTTGACATTATCGTTCCACACAACAGCAATTTTAATAATCAAGTGTAACACAAAGCAGAATACTTCGAGTGTTTTAATAGAATACATCATTGCTAATTGGTTAATATGCTACTCCCCCTGGGTACCATATTTGCGTATTAACCAGGAGATGTGGGGATGGTGCTTTATCCCAGCATTTCTGAAATTATTTTCCAAGAATCACAGTGCTTGCTCGTACTTGAAAAAGAAGGAGGCTTCTCTGCTTAGGGAAGCTTATGAAGTAGTATCTTCTAAATTCCCTCTTAAAGAACAACCAAAAGCACTTTATCAGCATCTCAAGCACATAATCAGACTAAAGAGAGTTCTAGTGAAGAAAATTGTTCAACTTTGTTTAAACTGGTGTATCTCAAACTTTATCATGGAAATACCAGTTCCCATTACCTATCACCATCGTAGGTATGTGAAACAGCATTGGGGAGTGCTGCCACAACCAAGAGAGACTCTAAAGTTGGAAATTTCAGTCACCCAATGTGGTTGTTAGCTATGACGGAATGGCAATTAGCATCATGCTGTCAAATGGCTGCCTCTTTCTAATGTTTTCTCTTATTCGTGAGTAAAGATCTTTGTTGCATGTAAGAGGAATGCCTCCTGAGTTTTATCAAATGCCATTTCACCATCTCATCCCACACTTGTACAGTATTTAATTTGTTAATGTCATTTATACTGACAGATTCTTTGACTTTTTCCCATTTCTGGATGTATCCAGGGTAGTCATGGTATAAGAGTATTATTCTGATGCACTTGCTTGATTTCATTTGTTACTATTTTTTTAGGATTTGTGCATCTCATGAGTGAGATTGAATAATAGTTTTTTAAAAAAATTATTATCACTGTTATTGTTTTGGTATTGCAATTACCTGTTGTACAAAACTGTATGACCCTATTGAGTTATTATGTTTTGCATTGGAGATCCTTAATCACTATTTTAGTTCCATCTTTTGACTTTTGTGTGTGTGTGTGTCTTTTAATTTCTACTTTGGATACAAATTCATTGAGTGTCCAGCACAGTTTCTTTAAGGAGCCTTTATAGCTGATTATTATGTTTGTTTGTGTTAATATTGTTTACCTCCAGTAGCTAGAAGGGTTTCTGTTTCTTTCACTGAAATCTGCATTATCCAAAATTTTCTGCCAGAAATAGTTGTGTGCAACAGATAATCAAGGATGGGAATCAAATCTGTTATTGGAAATCAGAACTGGTTGGGTTTTAAGGAAGTGAAGCTCAAGTTATAATTAGGAAATAAAAAAACAAGTTTATCATAGCATAACATTTATTATAATGAAGTGCAGATTCAGAGAAAGGTTTTTGAAGAATGAGGGTTTTCGCATTGAATTGTGAGGTGAATTGGCTTTTTCTGCCTGCATTGTCAAGCTTACAAAAAAAAAAGAGAAACGTAAATGTCAAACTCCTTAGCATGGCTTACATAACCCATCATTCTCTACATGATCTGTCTTGTTTACCTCTCTTACCTCATCTCTAATGAATCCTCACACTTCTTAATAAATTCTAGCTACATTAGCTGTTCTATCAATTAAAAATGCATTTGACCCTGAATAATAAACTCTCTCCAATAACTAATATGCACAAAGTTTTTGTTAAATAAATACTTAGTACTTACATTATTATAAAAGACTAACTTCTCAGTGCCATGAGTTAGAGTTGCATTTCCATTCTCCTACTCACTTTAACTTCCTAAATTTAAAATTAGCTCATTTTAGGGCCGGCCTGGTGGTGCACTGGAGAGTGCGCCACTTGGGAGTGCAGCGGCGCTCCCGCCGAGGGTTCGGATCCCATGTGGAGACCGGTTCCCGCTCACTGGCTGAGCGCAGTGCGGGCGCAACACTGAGGGTTGCGATCCCGTTGCTGGTCCCCGGTACAGGCGCGACACCAAGGGTTGCGATCCCGTTACTGGTCAGTAAAAAAGACAAAAAAAGGAAAAACAAAAAATAATAAAAATAAATAAATAAAATTAGCTCATTTTAAATATAGTTTGTTTTCTGAATAAATAGTGTTTATTCATTCCAGAATTCTGGGAGAACATATCGGGAATTCAGTTACAGTTTCATTTGGGGGATATCCCCCCAAGAATGCATCTGGACTGTGAAATCTCTGTATAATCTCAGCTGTTATCATTGGAGGGATCTTATTAACGTTTTTCATATATCAAATCTCCAATTTCCTGGATCCCATATTTTCCTCTTTTTCATTTACTTTCTCAATGTTGAGCATCTTCAATAATTTCTGGAACAGCATTTAATCGAAGAGAAAGTTTTGAGACTTTGCCTTACTGAAAATGTCTCTATACTAACTCATCCTTGATTGGTAATTTGACTGCTGTCTAACTTGAGTTTGGAAAACATTATATCTCAGAAGTTTGAAAACATTGTTTCATTGTCTTCAAGAAGTCTGAAGTCATTCTGATTTCTCTCCCTCTAGATATGACATGTTCTTTTTTACTTGACGTCTTAATAACCTTTTATTTCTCCCCAATGTTTTGAAATCTAAATGTGGATTTTCTCTAATTCATTTCTCAGTTGGCCCTTTCCGTCTCTAAATGAATGTGTTTCAGTTCTGGCAAATTCTCTTATATGGTTTCTTTGATACTGTTTTCTCCTCCGTGTTTATATTTTTCTCTTTTAGGGTTATCTCTTATCTAAACATTCACTTCTAGGGAAGTTTTGCTGTTTTTCTAATGTTTCTTTCCTATCCGCCACATTGCCCCAATTTCCTAGAAGCTCTTCTGTATTATCTTCCAAACACTCTCTTGAGAACTTTATCTCTGTTGTGCTTCTAACTCCCCAAAGCTCTATTTATCCTTTATCATTCATTTTAATAGCACGCTACACTTACTTCATGGATGCAGT